ACCAAGGCATCCATGAATCAAAAAGACCTTTGCCAAGAAAATGTGTGCCTGCTTGATAGCCAATAAAACAGTTTACAGTCTTTTACTCTTCACTTGGCACCCCAATAAAAAGCGACCTGGTCCCAACCCAAAGGCTGCTTTAAAGGAAGGTTACTGTGTGAAACTGGGTCAACTTTTGGCTGTATATTTTTTCCACCTTTCCTTTACAGTCTCGCAAAACAAACTATATATCGTGCAATAACAATGAAAGCATGCTAGTTGCCCGCCTTGGACATAAGTGCTTTTTTTTTTTTTTTTTTTTTTTAAATAATACAGAACGGTCTACCATTAGCGTCACGTTGTGATGACAATGATGGGCAATTACGGAGTGCGCGAAAAGGCAAAATTATGACGCAGCACAAATTCGACATTTCAAACCATTTCATTGAGCGACATGAATGAAAGGTCAACGATGTGATTGACGCCCTTCCTGCAGTCAGACTGCACTTATTGTCGAAATAATTTCAAAAAGTACAAAGTGAACATTTTGTAAGATAAAAAAAGAAAACCTTTATTGGTCTCACAATGGAGAAATTCCCAATTTACAGAGGCAAAATTATGCGCAAATTGAATAAGGAGCAAACAGAAGTGAAGTCAGGTTAAAGTGTTTTGAACATTTACAAAAAATATATATATATTTTAGTAATTTTAGAAACTTACTTTTAAATGTTTTGAAAGCTTTGTGTTAATGTGATAAAATGTCGTCAATGTACCGGTATGTTCTTTTTGTAATTTCGGTAAACTACTTTTTTTTTTTTTTTTTTTTTTTTTAAATTGTTATGGTCGCTGTTGTGTTTGTAACTGGTGTGTCTTTGCTTGTGTGATGCATAGTGAGTTCAGACTTTCCTCCAGATTATGTCCAGTCAAGCAATTTGTATTTCATCTCATATGATGTTCACTGTCTAGGCCAGTGAGTTTATTTACAAAAGTCAAAAGGCATTTACTGAAGGCTCCTTATCAGAAGCCTTTTCCCAAGTGGTATCGATCCAACTCAAGTTGCCCTCTCACCACTGATTCGCTGCTGGAACGAGGCTATTTGCCATCCTGTCTTTGTGGACAGGCGCCACGGGACCTCCATTCAATGCGCAGGCCTCATTTTCAGTACTTAATAAGTTTGGACCCGCTCTTTCTTGTGCCGCTGAATGACAAGCACTTGCACCAGTGTGTGTGTGTGTGTGTGGGGGGGGGGGGGCTTCAAGTGGCTATGGAGGGATGCTTTGACGAGTGTGTGTGGAGGGAGACTGCTGATTTCCCCCGGCGAGCGTATAGCTTAGCTGCCACCTCACTCCGTCTCCCGCCTATTACGGAGGCACCTTAATCAGGAACATGAAAGCATCTCCTGTGGCGCCGCCTCCTGTCAATATCGCTCACCTGTCGACTCATTGATTTATCTCTTGTCGCCGTCTCCTTGTCCACTCGGAACATTCCCACCAGAGCTGAGAATTCCCTATCGAGTTCAAAGGGCTAATGTGTTCAATAAATTGCACTTGATGACACTCGAAGGAATGCGGTTTGATTTAAACTTGGGACAGCTGCTCATGCCTTTGCATGTGTTTGTCAAAGTGAAGTCACGGACGTCACCTACTTTAGTTGAGAAGGATTACCTTATCTCAGTAGATGCCGGCAGCGGCGGCTCTGTCGTCTCCAACGTGCAATTAGCTAGCTGTCAGTGTATAACAATGCAATCGGTGCAGATAAGGACCGGTTTCTTAAATTCACTTTCTAAACCTCAGACACGTTTTACACTTAAAAAAAAAAAAAAAGAAAAGAAACTGTCTTTTTAAATTGGCAACTCAAAGGATCTTTTATATGCCGTGGCAGGTGGAACTGACTATTGCAAGATTGCTAAGTGTGTAACAACTATGGGGAATATGAACCATTAATTACAGCGGGGACCTAAGGATACAAAGGAGATGTAAAGCACACATCACAACACATTGTTGTCTACCACTAACCAACGTTTACACAGTGACAGTCTATCCATCCATCAATCAATCCATCTTTTATACTACTTTTTCACAATAGGGTCACATATTAGCCGCAGCCTATCTAAGTTAACTTCAGGTAAGAAGGGGGGGGAAACAAATAAATGCCTTACTTGTTCCATCAGAAAAAAAAACAAAACAAAACTGTCTAACCTCTGTTCTGGCAAATTTCTTTGCCAACCAAAACAGCAGCATTAGAGCATGTAAACAAATTTCCTGCGCTGTATTAAAATTGATCTTACAATATGCGGAAACGCCGTCTTTACACACGGTAAGTGTTGATGTATTTGCTCCACAGTGTGATGTGGTTCATGTGGTTCATTTCCCCCTTCTGCCCCAGTCTGCCTTGTTTCTTCGAAAAACATCCTTTCTTTTAAAACCCCAGTTTGACTTGACACACTGACATGGTTTGCTTGAATTTGACTTTGGGAAAAGTATAGAAAGCAGTTCCCTCATCTCGATAATGCACAACTATTTCAAAGCATGGCAGCATGGCATCCATATGCGTAGGATGTGCTTTTGACTCGAAATGCCCCTTGAAGCCTTCGAGTCGGTTTTCGTTGCTTTTGCATCAGCACAGCACAAAAATAAAAGCGGCGTCTGGCGGCAGCATCATGCGCACCCCCAGTTTAAACCTCGACTCTGTGAAACTTCGGGTTAAAATGCAGCGCGCCTGGAGTCTTTTGTCTCGTTTTATTGAGTTGGGTTTTTTTTAACCCGCATATCTCACCTTCGTGCCCTGTGTTTGCATTTCCCACCTTTTTGTCTTCACACCTGCGTCTTATCGGGCTCATCAGCCCTGCCCCGCGGTCCCTGCAGTCAATCAGCTGCTTCTCCTCACATGCTCTCATCTTCAGTTTAGTGCCTTGTTCCCTTTGTTCTACGTGGTGGTCTGCTCGGTTGGCTTCCTTATTGTTCAAATGTGAACTCAGGCAGGTTTTACTTCCTTAGTTTATTTTTATTTTTTTTTACCTTACGCCTGAATACCTGCAGACCGATAATCAACTCGACTCCACGCAGCTCTCAGTGAATTAAATTGTGAAAGGATTTGTTTGGTCCATGTGCTTAAATGCCACCAAGCCTCATTATAAATGCAGGTATTGTATCTCGATGTGCAACGTGTTGCTGGAAGGTTTCTGCCAATGCTTATATTTCACTTTAAATGTCAGCAATACTTTCGGAAACATTGCACGCCTCTCATGAATATTGCGTAAAATGGACGGTTGGATTGATTACTCTGGCCTTGCTGAATCGAAAAATAAAACTACAATAAAGTCACAGGGCAATCATGAATCACCGTATAATATGAGAATGTGTATGACAATAATCCAAATAGGATAACACAGTTCCCTCTTTATAAATATGTTGGCATGTTACAAAACTCTTGATTTGATTAGAAATGTAATTATACAAGAATACATTTACAAATTTTATTTCAACTTCATTTTTCATAACTTGACACTTTTTTTTGTCCTATTGTGACAATTTTTTTTACCCCAAAAATTATTCTCCCCAATACTACTTAATTCACATTTTGACTTGCTTCTCCAAACATCTCCAACTACTAATGTTTCTTGAAACATTCCTACTTTTTCCCCTGCAAAAAAATACGGTTTTGTGATAACATTCCGTTTGTCTCTTAACATTAAAAAATGCATACAGCTGCGGCTATAAGTAAGAAATTGCGAATCAGTTATGAGTCTGATTATCCCATTGACTAATTTCAATTGAGTAATCTGATAAAAAATATATTGTAACGCGTTCGGACGAGCGGTGTTTAGCTTTATTCAATGGGATAAGATCAATACAAATCTCGTGTTGACGATCATTCAATCATCTTTCACTGTATCTTCTTTTTTAAGTCTGAAGTGATCCCAAACATTCTGTTTTTCGTTTGCTGTTTTCTCCCGGCTTGCCACCCTCACGCCAATTTATTTCTACTTGCAGCGTTGCTTGTGTCCACACGACAGTAGCATTATACATGGTTGCCTGCTTGTAGACCGCTCACATATTTCTCCAGACGGGTAAAAACCGTTAACTGAGTTGAATTGACTTGCGTGCTGATGGCATCCAATTAAGTGAAGGGTGCAAGCTTTGATATGTTTGTCCTCTTCACAGACAAATACGCCAGCAAGGTAGTTGCTGTGACGTCCTTGCACACAACAGTAGCTGTAATGATTACGTCCATTCAAGCAAGTCTCAAATATGATGTGAATTGTGAAGCAAATTTAAAGTACGGAAACTCAACTTTTTCATCTATTGTGCTCGTTTACAAAACAGGAAGGGGAAGAGTAAAGGGGTTTAGCGTCTCTTTCTTTGTGACTCGAATACGACATGATGAATAACAGCCACTCTTGAATGTGTCTTTAATTTCCCCTTAGCGCAAGGACATTACTCTTCGGCCAGAACACGTTTGGGGACTACTCTGCCCTCTTAGATTTGACTTTAGTGCTGATGAGCTCTTTTCAAATTCAAGCTTTAGTTGTCAGTTGCTGGCTGTCGACTGTTGACAGCGACTCGTGCGCATGTCCCCACTTGGTTCACATGAAAAAGTTCAATCGAAAAACAGCTCATTACCAGTATGGACATGGTAGCCTCTCCTTCCCTGCAGCCTTCTCCCTCTTCACCCCTCACCGCATCCCATCGAAGGCACCTCCTCCCACCCTCCTTACCAGCACTTTGTCTCCATGGCAATGTTGAGAATGAAACTTAACCCAAGAGGGTTATTTTTGTTTGTTTCTTCGTCTGAGGGACTTATTTTAAATTATTCCTTTGATCCACACATTAAGTGAAGTGGTATTAATTCTTAAAATATGGAGAGAAAGTGGAGGTCATGGGGAAAGATAGATGGGTAGGTTTATACATGCACATACTTGAATTCTCATCGCTCATTAGGCATCATGGTCATAATGATGTGCTTTTCAATTATTCGTTTATAAGTGGAATAACATTCCCTTTCCTTATGTGTCTTCACAGTGAGCGGCCTGGAGACGGTGATGGGCCTGTACGACCAAACACTGGAGATTCCGTGCAACAAAGGAGCCGTGAAAGCGGAAGACGCGCTGATCACAAAGTGGAAATATGTAAGTCAACGCAGAGGTCAATGGATTCAAAATGCTGAAGTCTGTCTGACACCAAGCGTTTGACACCCATTTATCATGTCTGAGCCACACCCGGTCTGAGTGCATTTGCTGCACACTTGAGCGTGCATTTGTTCCTCACTGTGTGTGTGTGTGTGTGTGTGTGTGTGTGTGTGTGTGTGTGTGTGCGTGTGCGTGCGTGCGTGCGTGCGTGCGTGCGTGCGTTCATTCCTCGTGTGTCTTCTGCAACAAATCCTTTCCAGGACAAAGGAGATGGACTCTCAGGAGACCTGCTGGTCAGAAAGAAAACTGAAAGCGTCTCCATTAGCACCACAGATGAATACAAGGGTCGCATCAACATGGCCGCCAATTCCAGTCTGCTGCTTTCTGCCCTCAAGCTGAGCGACCAGCGCACTTTCACCTGCATGGTGGTGGTCGGCTTAGACATTGACGAGTACCCAGTCAACGTGGTCGTCTATAGTGAGTGGAGTGTCGGGTTGCGAAATTCCAAATTGGAAACTTTCCATGGGAATTAATTTAGAAAAATGAAGCTCGGTTCTTGATGGGGAACTTAAATTAGGGCTGAGATGGATAAGCCATTAGATGGAATAATTGGATTACAGTGCAAAAGTCGAAGCCAAAAATTCACCACCTTGTGGTGACCGTTTTTCCAGATGATTAAAGTTACTGCAGATTCGCGCACCGCTCAGTGGAAGAAAGAAGTTGTTGCGATGGCAGCAAGCCAAGAGGAGTGGTGAATGTGTAAAAGAGAGCGAATGTACAAAGTTTTGGATCATCTCACACTTAAAAAAGATGATTAACTCAAATGTGCAGCATGTCTACGATCGCCAACACAAGGTATCGGTGTTAGCTCTTGTAATCTAGTCAAGCTATCTATGTTGCGTAGATTTCTGGTCATAACAAAACAAAATGTTTATATTAAAGCACAAATGTGACCCCCTTCCATTCAATGACCTTTAATTCCCATGGGAAGTTTCCAATGTGGAATATATCCAAAATTTCACCCATTTTAAATTCACGTTGAAATATTCTAGAAATTTAAATAAAAACTTTGTAAACTGTGCCTGCTGCCTGCTGCACTTTATGATCGCATTTGGATTATTAATATATTCATAATTGTGTGTATTGCAGAGGCGCCTGAAGGGTTGGAGATTTCTGACAAGGCACAAGAGTTGGCCATTGGCAAACTTACAAAGGTATGATTTATTTATTTATTTTTTTATTACCTGTGTGTGACAAACATTACCTATATCAACATTTAAAAAAAAAAAAAAAAAAACATCAAGGGAACCCCTGCTCGTGAGGCATGGCAGCAACCATTTTACTACAATAAAGAATCCTTTTGAAGCGGTGCTCATGAATTAGTAACAAGCACATTCGTCGCTGCTGCAATTAGAATACCCAAAGTACCGGAAAGGAGTCTTTGGGCATTTCATGGTCTGTTGCCTAGAATATCCTCAGGTCATCAGAAGGCGGCGGCGGGGGTGGTTTGACTGCTACTCAGTGTAAACAATGACTTTGGAAGTGTTTTTGAGGGATTTTTGTCTTTGTGTCCTGCAGCTGGCCACATGTATTGCAAAGGATGCCAATCCGGCAGCCAACATCACATGGCTCAAAAACAACAAACCCCTGGTGGATGGCGGGAAAGGTGTGTTATTGTGTTACAAAACTCATCAACGTAGTAGGATGTGCTAATTAGAAATGTCATGAAAACACATGTGAGTATTGAGTTTGTCTTTAGTTTGTATTGTCACTTGAGGTCCTTTGCCTTTACACATCATCGCCATGGATTTCAAGTCTCATAGTCACGTGTTAAGTTGCAGGGCTATTGTGAACCGGCACATTGATTGAGAATTCATCCCACATTAGCTGCGTAAAACCCAACTATGTGGATCCCTATGGACCAATTTCTTAATACCGTGTCCCCCTTTTACTCTCTGTAGATTTTTGTTACCTGTTCAAAGGTTTCCAAGCAGATACCATATGGGTGATAGCAACCATTTCTGTTCACTAATTGTTCAATATTTTCATCTTTGCTCTGTCATTGTAATAGTTAAGGGAACCCAGTGAGAAATTATTCAAATAAACACACGTTTTGACGTTAGCTTAGCCGAGACATGCAGTACCGGTATTTATACTGCTCAGTCACCACAATACTGCAGTTGTCTGCTACTGTACTTTGCTGCTCTCCTGTGAAATTGTATTCAGTATTAAATACAGCGAGTTGTGCAAAAAATGATTCATCAAGAGCTCATTTACTCCAAAGGGAGAAACTTCAATTGGCGGGGCAGACAATAAATGGCATCCAGTATTAAATACTGTACATAAATCGTTGTTTGTTAGGGTATATAATTGACTTGACTTGTGCTGTGTTATATTATTTTGTTATGCTAACTGTTCTGTTTACGTTAAGAAACCTGCCTTGGGACTACGGCTGAAAACTATCATTTATGCTCAGTCCGGCACATTTACACTGTTGCGTTGATTAAAGTGCACTGTCCCAATGAAATAAATGAATAAAAAAATAAATAAAATGGACTGGTGATTCAATGCTGCATGCAAAAGTGACCACCCGAAAGTCTGTTCGTCCTACTCCGGAATTCCTAGTGAAGTCTATTTGTAGTACGTTGAAAGGGTATGAGTCAACAGACATTTTTGCATGGGGCTAAAGTTGCCGTGAATCTATGTTTGTGTCTGGCGAGCGACTGTGTGCTTGTAGGAGGGCCCCTCTGAGAGCTTGTTGTTTGTTTTTCGGCGCAGGCGTTTCCATCCGAGCCTCGGTGCAGGTGGACCCGGTGAGCGGCCTGTCGAGCACCTCGTCCACACTGGAATACTCTGCTACAAAGGAGGACACCGACGCCCAGTTCTCATGCAGCGCTCAGCACAACGTGGGGAAGGAGCTGGCATCGTCTGCGCTCACTTTCACCATCACATGTGAGCCGAACGCTTTCTCTGCATTTGGACGCAACATTGCTGTTGTTTTTTTGAGTTTCATCATCGCGGACTATGAAATAATCATTTTGACGTGTGTTTACCTCCCTTGACAAAAATATTTTTTTTCCTTTCTTTTTTACATCCCAGCTCCGTTGTGCATGTTGTCTGAAAAAAAAAAACCTCCAGACTTTTGGTCTTTAGTGCAAAATGGAGTTAATGCAGAAGCCGCATGAAGTATTGAGTCCCTTTGCTCGGCATCGCCTCCAAATAAGGAGGTGCAGTTTCACGTAGGGAGGCTAACACGGTCTTTTCTGTGCTGTGTTAAATTTAGAAGATTTTTTTTTTCACTTTACAGAGACTTTCAATGAAGTTACCACAGTACTAGAATCACCACTCCATACGATGCCGTGCATTTCTAAACTGTAGACCAGTTCTCCCTTCTGAGCGCTTGGAGTTTCTGCCCCTTTGTTCCCTCCAGACTCCACGGAGAACATCGTCCTGGAGGTGATTGCCCCAGAACCTCTGGTGGAAGGTGACAACGTGACCCTCAAGTGCATGGCAGACGGCAACCCGGCCCCGACCAGCTTCAACTTCCACGTGAAGGTACACTGATGAGTCTGTAGTCTCTTATTGTGTCGTCAATCAGCAGAGCATCCCGAGCTAATCAGCAGCTATTGTGTGTCTTTGCAGGGCGATGTCATTCCTGTGAAAAATATGGATACATACACACTCACTCATGTCTCGCGTGACGACACCGGTGAATATCAATGCTCCCTAATTGACAACCCTGCCATGATGGCTTCCAAGGACGTCACAGTCAATTGTAAGACACCACGCTGTGTTTCTCTGAAAGATTATCCCATCAGCGCTGTCATTTTTCTCCTCTTTTGGAGCCTCCGGACTTGCTGTCGAGAGTGAAGCGTGTTTGCCCCGTAGCTTTCAGATTTCTTGCTCTCCTCACTTTGTTGTGTCATCCTCTGCTAAAAAGCTGCGGCGCAGCAAGAGGAGTGTAACAATAATAGAAATATCTCTCAGCTTGTCAGAGCTGGGAGTCGTTGTTTCGCCATCCTCTCACCTCTTTTTCTCTCTTAGACCTAGACATCGAATTAAGTCCCACCGGGAGTGTCGTCAAGGCAGCTGGGGAGGCCTTGGAGCTATCTTTCCAGATCGACTCTTCAGGACAATCAAAGGTCTCTTGGACCAAGGTAAAAAAAACACTCAACGACTTCCACTGCTGAAAGTGTTTGCCTCAAAGAATGAATTTGTTCTTGAAATGAAAAATATTGTTACGTTCTCATCAGGACAATGTCAAGCTGGACAAAGAGCCCGAGTTTACCGAGCTCAAGTACTCAGATTCTGGCCGCTATGAGAGTGATGTGAAGATGGGAGCACTTAGCAAGAAGGTTTTTTTTGACCTGGTTGTTGAAGGTAAGGGTCTTAGAAAAACCACACTCACTCACTTCAGGTGCCCATAAAATAATAGTCAATGCAACATTGATCTACTATATAAAGATACGGTTTCAGAGTTTGTGCTCATGTGCTACTGGTTGCACCGGTGCGACCAGCCTTTTGAGCAGTAGGAGAGGAAGGAGTTAGTGACTCACAATACCTCTGTACCAAATGGTTAATATTTGCTTACGTGCAATTTGCGTGAGTCTGTTGTACGTCTATTTATTTAATTTATCCAAGAAATTTTATTTCTTGTTCTCCATTTCAATGCCAATGTTCAATGTTCCTGAGAAGAAAGTTATTTGCTCTTAAAAAAATATGTAAATAAATAAATAAAAACACTCAATTTCCGATGGTTTATCACAGTATCCACAGTGTAGAAAAACAATGATGAACTGGATTGTTCTAAAAATGTGTTATTGGGACCGGCCTTGGTAAGTGACCTACGCCCATCAAATATAAAGTGTAAAAAGCTGCGGATGACAAGGTGATAAGAACAACTGAAAACGCCTTGAATGGTAAGTTATGGCCTGATATGTTCAAAAGTTCGAAGCAACCCCCTGACACAGATCACTTCAAGCAAACTTGAGTAAGTTAGCAGTCTTGTGGACTTGTGATTCAAATAAATAACTTTATGATGACCAGATTGTAGTTGATCATATACCAGTCAATATTGCCTAAAAAGACAGGCAGCAATGTTATATTAAAAAAAAAAATAAAAAAATAGTGAACCTGTAATACCTCATTGTTGAATGTGATGCAGTGGAAAATGTGGGTGATTCTAACTTGTGTGCTGCTGCACCAAAATAAAAACATTGGGGGTACCAGTGCAAAAGGTTAGCCTAGAGCCCTGATATGCACTGACCTCGTACATGTATGTCAGGCGTGTCCAAACTTTTTCGTTTGAGGGCCGCATACATAAAAATGGAAAGATGAAAGGCCCACTTTAAAATTCTTCAGTGTTTTGAAACATGCTAAAGTCAGTCGAGAAAATAATTCTGGATTGTTTGTATGAGTTAATTTTCATCATCTGACTGCATAGCATAGTTTGTGTACCCAAGCAAAATGTCCCCCAAAAAATGTGGCAGATTGATCTGTTCAGGAACCGAGGTTCTATTCGGAGGTTCCGCCTTAAGTCTTCCATTTTGTTTGTTTGTTTGTTTGCTTCATTCAACTTGACTCAAGTCATTGCTTTTGAATTTATATCTTAAGGTCGACACCACTCCAATTTCGTGTTTTTATATCATATTTAATGGACTGTGCACCTCTACTGTACCAGAGTAAAATTATATTTAATGTTATGCACACCTCTAATATACCGTATTTAATCACCAAAGTGCATCCGATGTACCATATTTAGATCATATTGAATGGACTTTGCACCTCAAATGAAACACATTCATATCATATGTGTAGCTTGAATGTAACAGAGTATTTTGGACCATATTTCATGGTCCATGCAGCTCTATTGTACTCTTATGACATCATGTGTAATGGTTTTTGACCAACTTATGTACCACATCATAATACATTTTCTGTGTACATTGATTGTACTATATTTACATCATATTTAAAATTTCACTTTAGGGTTTGTTTGTTTTTTTTAAGTCATGGGTGTATTTGTTTTATTTTTCTAGGTGAAGTCATTTGGATAATTACATGTTATCCACTGACAATAAGTGGTGATCAGCTATCACTAAATATGACCTCAATTCCTTCGATTGTCATATCAGTCAAGCTGAACTCAGCAAGTCAAGCAACCCCTCCATGGCTACAATTTTAGCTTAACCCTGAGGGATGCACATTTTATGAACATTGCGAGCAAATGTTACGCTCAATAAGCATAAATTAGCATGCCCTTTTTTTTTTTTTTGCATGTAAAAAAATGCAGTGTAAAAACCCTTTGTGATTTTTCTGCATTTCTGTGCCCAGCTGTCCAGGACCTGTTGCCAGGCAACTATCTGAGACTCCACAAAGTCCCTGACAGCTGTACACTTAAAAAAATGTGTGTGTGTGTGTGTGTGTGTGTGTGTGTGTGTGTGTGTGTGTGTGTGTGTGTGTGTGTGTGTGTGTGTGTGCGTGCGCATACAAATATATTTGTATGCGCGCACACACACACCAGGATATTAGTGGGGTGAACTGTCTCCTGCAAGTGAATAGATGGCAGTTTTAATCATCTCGCCAAAAAGAAAGAGAACAATTCTGGCTATTGCATTTGAGGTCGGCACTTTATTTTGGATGTGTGCGTTTTTGTAAATGAAAAAAAAGAACATCACAAGAGCATCCTGTTGCAGGCGCTCCAGTGATCAAACAGCTGTCCAAACAGCGTAGTGAAGACGGTCAACATAAAGTCTTGATTTGTGAGGCCGAGGGCTCTCCAAAGCCATCTGTTTCCTGGAGCATCAATGGCACCTCGGTATGTATTTACACACACACACACACACACACACACACACACACACAAATATCCACAATATTCTAAATAGCGGCAGCACTTGGAAATTATTAATTGCTTTTCTTAGAAAAATATACAAGCAGTAGCAAAAAGGGTGTCACAAATGTTTTTCTGTTTTTGTGCATATATAAGTGTGTGTGTGTGTGTGTGTGTGTGTGTGTGTGTGTGTGTGTGTGTGTGTGTGTGTGTGTGTGTGTGTGCGCGCGCGTGTGTGCGCGTCTGTGTGTGTGTTTTGTTTTTCTTCTTTTACCGAAGACGCACCACAGCGTATAGCTGTGTTCCCCTTTTAGGGCTTAGTTAGTTGTAGTTAATTTGCTTTAACACCTTGCATTGAAATGAAACAGTGTTCTTTTCACCTGTTCGCCACATTAGCATTCACTATGCATCCCCAAATGAGATGAAAAAAAAACCAATAGTCTGCCTTGACTATGCTAATGACACTGTCTTTTTCAAGGGAAAAAAAAGTCGATTAGTATATTTCATTTAAAGTTGTTTCAAAAGAATATGTTAAAAAAAAAAACGATATTATGAGAGTGAACTTGTTTTTCGGGCAAAAGAAGTAAATGTCAAAAGGGAACATATAATTACAATTGTATTTAAATTTTTGGTTTGATTTTTGGGGCGGTTAGGAAAAAAATATATTACAATTTTTTTTTTTTTTTTTTTAATGTTTGTGTTTTTTGGGGGGCTTAAAAAAAGACTAGAAAATATTACAGGAATAACATTTTCCTTTCACTGTACGGCATTTAAGTTTTTCTGAAACAGAAAGTCATAAATGTACAAATGAAGTATTACTTCTCGTATGAAGTTGTATTTTGGGCAGGGATGAAGAGAAAAAGTCATCGCGGGAACAAAACTTAATTTATCCAATATTTTTTTCAATAATTTGACGGAAAAGTTTCATTTTTCTGAGACAAAGAAGCAATGTAACACACACACACACACACACACACACACACACACACACACACACACACACACACACGTATATCTTGCAGGGCACACAAAGACAAAAAACGTTTCGAAACCGGAGTACCCAGAGAAAACCCACGCAGGTACGGGGAGAACATGCAAACTCCACTCATGAAGGCTGGAACCCAGAATCGAACCCTGCACCTCTGCACTGTGAGGCGGACGTGCTAACCAGTCCTCCATCGTGCCACCCACCCCAAGAATTTGTGGGTTTAAAATAAAATGTCAACGCAATAAGAGTGCAAGTGTCAGTAATACGCAGGTATTCATTTTCTCAATTCATAGCAGGGGTCCACTGTACAATAAAAAGAATAAAATAACAAAGCTTTCCACAGCATAAGAGGAGGGTTGATGGGCTTCTTCCATACTGCTTAATTGATGAAGTCATGAAGGCATGTCTGAAATACCTTTGTCATTCACCACAAATAACTGATGCTGGCCTGACAACAGTCTCATCTCAACGGTTTGCCCGTGTCACGGTCTCATTCTTTCTTACTGAGTCATGTCTGCGCATGCGAGTGTGTGTGTGTGTGTGTGTGTGTGTGTGTGTGTGTGTGTGTGTGTGTGTGTGTGTGTGTGTGTGTGTGTGCGTGTTTTTTTTTTTTTTTTTTCTTTTTAAGAAACTCAAACTAGTTGAACATTGCCTCCTAGTGGTGTCTACAAGCACTTTCCATTCTGTGACTTTCCTTTGTTACAAAAGTATAGAGCCAGGAGTCACCAACTCCAGTCCTGGGCAGGGGGCGCTGGCTATCCAACATGTTTTAGATGTTTCCATCTTCCAACACACCTGATTCAGTTGTTGTTGGGGTTTTTTTTTATGTCACACTCCACAATACTCCATATAAAAAAAAAAAAACTAAAATACTCAAGAAAAAAAATTAATAAAGTAAAACATAGCCTTTTTGAGACAAAAAAATCAAACTGATGAAAACGAATAAACCCACACTAAAAACTAACTAAAACTAATTGAATTTCGGGTGGTGATCCACAACTATTCCAACCCTAATCAAAACTGTGCACTATTGTATTATTGTTGATTATTGAGCTCAAAGCTGTAACATGCACGCTTTATGTGAGGTAACGGCAACTTTTAATCAGAGATGGCTTAAATGCATTTTTGACGGTGATTTCATTTTTTTTTCCAAGCATTTCGGGTTTTTGGGGATATTTTCATTTATTGTTAAATTTGACCTATAAAAGCTTGCGCAATACAGATTTTACCATGTGGTGCAATTTATAGCTAAGACGTTTCAGAAAAAAATAAATTATGTGGACGGCAGGTTTTATTGGTGAGGATTTGGGGAAATGTGCAAGAAATTATATGCTGCTGTAAAAAACATTTTTTTTTTAAATCAGTGCTCAGAAAAGGCAAATGAACTGTGCTGGATTTTGTCCTCCAGCTTGAAGAAAGTCCCTTCCTCAATGGCAAGGTCACGCACAAAATCACGGTGGTGCCCACCATCAACCTGACGGTCTCGTGCACCGTGTCCAACGAGTTTGGCGTGGACACATGGACCATCGATGTGTCTTCTCGTAAGTATTCATCCTCCCCGGCGGTGTCATCCGCTAAGGTGTGTCGTTCCACCTCCCCGCCCACCGACGCAGCTCTTCAACTCTGCTCGCATGACATCACAACACGAATCATGTTCACTCTTATTAACCATCACCTTACTGTTTGTTTTTTTTCCTTTCCAGGTAAAAAAATAAATGGACAAAAGTATTTGGTCACTTAGCCTTTGCAAAAACAGGACACGACTGGGGAAGAAAATGTGGAAAAAAGAAGTTCAATAATTTTCTTTCACATAATGTAAGAAATGTGAATATTGGAGATATTACACTTAAAGTGTCTCCCACCATTTATTGAGCCATGGCACATATTTTACAGAAGATCAAAATGGCACACCAGCAAAACAGAAAGATCACAGAAAGCATTTATGTACCTTCTGCCATCTAGTGGAAGAACATTTAATTTAGCCTGTCACTATACGTCACTGGCAGAGCTAAACGTCCAATGATAGTTTTGTTGTTGTTGGTGGGGGTGGGAGGGAGATGATGAATTGAAATTGGAGAATTTCACACAGCACATTAATTGTTGGGAATCACTGCACTGCACGTATTTAATATGCCAAATCATTTTTATCTGATTACTTCATTAATTGATGTTTATCGATATATAATAATAGTCCATCTTAAAAAAACAACACATGCAGCCCTATCTAATACATCAACTATGAATGGGCTGTCACTTGTACAGCGCTTTTCTACCTTCAGTACTCAAAGCGCTTGACACTGTTTCGTTTCCCTCCTGATGACGCAGCATCAGGAGCAACTGGTGGTTCAGTGTTTTGATCAAGGACACTTTGACAAAGTCGCAATGACCGGGGATTGATCCCCCAACCTCTGGGTTGCGAGACAACCACTTGACCATGCCGCCCCCGAGAATTATAATCTAAAATCTAAACAATGGACTCCGGCGGGTTCACCTATTGGCAGACTTTTTTTTTTTTCCCCAATACACAGTATCTAGTTTTGATGGTTGATGCTCATTAGTTGTACATCCGTGCTTCTACAAGAATTTCCATCCATCCATCAATCCATTTTCTAATCCGCTTATCCTCACGAGGGTTGCGGGCCGCCTATCCCAGCTGTCTTCGGGCAGTAGGCAGGGGACACTCGAAACTGGTTACCAGCCAATCGCAGGGCACACATTGACAAAAAAAAAAACCTTCGTGCCCACAATCACATCTAGGGACAATTTAGAGCGGTATGTGGGAGGAAACTGGAGTACCCGGAGAAAACACACGCAGGCACGGACAGAACATGCAAACTCCACTCAGGAAGGGTGGAGCTGGAATCGAACCCTGCACCACTGCACTGTGAGGCGGACGTGCTAACCAGTCCTCCATCGTGCCACCCTCCACAAGTATTTGTGGGTTTAAAATAAAATGTCAACGCAATAATCGTGCAAGCGTGAATAATATACAGATCTTCATTTTCGCGATTCATAGCAGGCGTCCATTGTACAATAAAAAGAACAAAAATAAAGCTTTCCACAACATAAGAGGAGGGTTGATGGGTTTCTTCCACACTGCTTAATTGATGAAGTCATGAAGGCATGTCTGAATACTTTTGTCATTTATCACAAATAACTGATGCTGGCATGACAACAGTCTCGTCTCAACGGTTCGCCGTGTCACCGTCTCATTCTTTCTTACTGAGTCATGTCTGCGCATGTGTGTGTGTGTGTGTGTGTGTGTGTGTGTGTGTGTGTGTGTGTGTGTGTGTGTGTGCGTGCGTGTGTGTGTGTTGGGATGCTGGGACTCGATCTGTCCTCCCTCTGATCTGAACCTCCTGCACGCAGACAGTAGACTAGACATAGCGTTAGATGTCATTTTTGCCTTGGTTGGACGTTAATTTTTTTTTTTATTTCGTATCTGATTTCAGTATTTGAGGAGGTGAGAGTGGATAAACGAGGTAAGTGTTCTTGCTTGTGAGAATTGGGGGAAGCGGCTGGAAATCAAATGTTCTTTGAAAGAATTACCGGTAGATAAAAACACAGGAGGAACAGCGCCACCAGCATCCTGGCAAACATGACCCATTCTCCTGCTGGCTGAACAAATGACGTCGTAAACAGGATTTCTGTCATGAACATTTACCACAGCGATTCATAATCATGTACAGGGGCAGTGTGTCCATCCAGCCGATATGTTAAGGGTACAACTTCCTGTTTGTGGTCAGGAGGTCCACACTTGTGCGTGACCGTCAGGTGTGTGACGGTTGTGTTTGTCTTTTGTCGTGCAGACGAATCGGAGGATGCCGATCAAACCAAGCTGGTGGTCGGAGTGGTGGTCGGCCTATTTATCGCCACCATGCTCATTGGGCTGGCTTACGGGATTTGCCAGAAGAAATCCAAGTGAGTCAGAATCGAGCCTACTACACAGTACAGTGGAATAGAGGGGAATAAGGCCTCAATTAACGTTAACACCATGCAACTAGAAGGTACACAATCATGAACCCCTGTCACATAAACAGAATTCTCTAGTTGAAAATTTCAACACAACCGTGCCACCTTCACATTAGCCAGCATACTAGCCTGAATAAGACACTAGCACAAACTCAACATCGCCCATGGACAAACAAATATGCACACTAGGACCAAATACAAACAGTCTTAAGCCATTAAACTTATAGTACCTATGCAAACAATGACAGATATTTGGGAATACAAGCAAATTGTAACGCAATTTGTAGATTACCTGACCACTTGGAGCGGCATCACGGGAGAAGTAGAAACATACCTTTACTTTTGGCTGCACAAGGTGCATTCAAGTCGACCAAAAAAAACTCAAAAAAACAAAAAAAACTTCAATGCATTAAACCTAAAGATAACACAAAAGTAATACTTTCCTTTGGCCTAAATCTAAAAACAGCCAATCGAGAAGCTCTTCAGTAACTGAGGATAGGTTCCCCCAAAAAGGTTTACTGTAATGATTAGCACTTAGGGCTGGATTCTATTGATTATCCCATTGATTAATCAAATAATTGGATGAAATGACATTCCGCCTGTGTGTGTGTGTGTGGCTTTAAATATGTGGGGTCCTGGCTTGGTGAGTGACATGGGTGTCAGTGTAGGAGAATATAAATACACTGAGTGCAGCGCATACTGCAGAAACATTTGGCCACGTGGAAAAAATTATCCCAGCGAAGCTTCAAAGCAGATCTGTTGCTTTGACTATTTTTTGTAATTGAATTATTCGATCAATCGTCCCAGCTCTCGTCATTGTGAAACATGTACCGTCCTCCACAGGCAAGGCAGCTGGAAGACTGGCGAGAAGGAGAACGGCTCCTCCGATGAGGAGAGAAAGCTCGAGGAGAAGGTGGAGGAGAACAGCCAAAAAGCTGAAGTGTAGAGGAAACGCGAAAGCCACCTACAATCCTTTGGGAATGTGAAAGGTTGCATCCGCATACATTTGCACACGATCATATCAATGTGAATTCTAACTAACATTGTGGTCCTTTGCAGTGAGAACATAGAACATTTCACGTTTCTCCTCCTCACTTCATCTTTTGGAAAACGAAGAAAAAAAAGTGTACATTACAATGAAGACAACTTGGATTTGATATCAGGGAGAATTTGACTACAAATCCAATCACACTCTGGAAAAAAAACAACAACAATTGGATACTATATGTGATATACATGCACTACTTGACACGCTCATATACGTACACAGTGTAGCTCTGTCTTATGTTAGCAATCATGGTTGTTAGGAAAGAGCATTTTTTTAGTTAGCTGCTGCCAGTGAAATAACTTCTAGTCCAGTTTTGTCTTTGCTGTAAAGATGTGTACGAAGTGCATCGTGGCTTATGTCATCCATTCTTTGTTGAGGGTTTTATTTTTTTTTTTAATGTACATACCATATTTTCCACACTAAAAGGCGCACTGGATTATGAGGCGCACCTTCAATGAATGGCCTATTTTGTCATTTTTTTCATACATTGGGCGCACTGCGTTATAAGACGCAATCTACAATGCATCCACTAGATGGAGCTATGCTCAAGGAAACACCAACGGAACGATCAGATGTCAGTAAAACCGATTTAATAAAGCAGCGACACAGTTCACTTAACCAACAGCTAGTTATAACATTGACTCATTAACGTTGAACTCTCTTGCCGCTGCTCTATTTACGTGTTCAGCAGCTTAACCCGATCGCCTTGAGTTTGAACTCTGCATTGTCAGCATGTCTCGAGCTAGGAGCCATTTTGGGGTCGAAATATTACCGTAATGACCATACACAAAGCGCATCGGATTTTACGGCGCACTGTGAGCTTTTAAGAAAATGGAAGGCTTTTAGGTGCGCCTTTTAGTGCGGAAAATACGGTTCCATGTGTATGTTCATTTGCATTGAGAAATGGCTAAAGGGTTAGTACTGAAGTTGGCGAGAATGCGCCATTTATGATTTTTTTTTTTCCAAATGTACTGTACGGCATCGAACGTTAACGACCGGGTAGATCGACCAAGCAAGTGATTTGGATGGATTTGATGTCCATTTCGCATCCCTTACAAGGAAATCTACCTGCTCGTGTCTGCATTCAATGATTCATGTTTGAGTTGTTGAGTTGCCACAGCTGGTTCTCAAAATGGAACAATGCCATTGTGAAGTATGAATATTATTTTGTTGTTGCTGTTGCTATTTATGTTGTACAAGATGAACGATGGTCCCGCCCCCACCGTCCGACAATTTGAATTATAGATGAAAACACGATAACAGGCTTGAGATACGTAGTTGATAATTTTTGAATTGAAAGCATCCAATTAGAAGACTGACCAAAGAAAGTAAACATTGCCATGCAAGTACTGTAAATATCTGTTTTGTTTTTTTGTACTTTTGTTTAAAATAAAGTGGTCATTTGGAAAACATTTGCTCACTGTCTTTTTTTTTTTCCTTTTCTATTGTTGTCAGTGGACTTTTCATTGCCATGGCTTCACAAATGCACATCAGCTACCTATTCAAGGGTTTATGCCACATCTTCCCTAAGTTAACTATTTTAATTTAGCAGCATTTTGTTTTTATTCCCGTAACTGGTTAAACCGGTATGTAACCTATTTTAAAGCGAAATTATATGAATTGGGCTGTTTTACTGGAAAAAAAAAACAGAGGAAAATATTTCTCTGATGTTTAATACACAAGTTTTTAGATGTCGAACTGAAATGACTTGAATTGGTTACTTTTAGTCGTGATTGTTTAAATGTATTGTATTACTCCCCCCAAAAAATTTCTGGAATATTTAATACACCTGCATGTCAATCTACAACTGAAATAATTGTTGTTGGGGCCACCTAGTGCCCACGGCCCGATATTGGTGAATTTCTGTACGTGAGTACATAATTGTCCCTGTCTACTATGTGAGGGAATACGGTTTAAAAGAATGCGTGTGAAAAATAATAATCTGCTCTGATCTGAATACGGGGCAGCACGGTAGAAATCAGTTAGTTGCGTCGGCCTCACAGTGCAGAGGTGCAGGGTTTGATTCCAGCGCCGGCCTTCCGATGTGGAGTTAGCACATTCTCTGCACTGGGTTTTCTCTGAGTAGTCCGATTTCCTCCCACATTCCCAAAACATGCGTGGCAGGTTAATGGAACACTCAAAATTGTTGCTAGTTATGAGTGTGAGCACGGATGGTTGTTCGTCTGTGTGCCCTACGATTGGCTGGCAACCAGTTCAGGATGTCCCCCGCCTACTGCCCGAAGACCGCTGGGATAAGCTCCAGCATGCCCCGTGACCCTTGTGACAATAAGCGGATCAGAAAATGGATGGATGGATGGATGGATGATCTGAATACAATGCACTACCATGTTTAATCCGTTCTAACGTTTCACTTATGAGGAGAATGCCCTCACAATCATTAATTCGTAACTATTGCATCCTTGGTGGAGGTCTGAGCTCTGCGACGTCCTTTGTGTCACTGGAGCTAATAAGCGTAATGAGTACCGATATCTGGAATCTGAATTCAGAATCAGCAATTAGTGTCACAGCACATGAAGAAGGGTTATGAGAGGTGCATGATCATTATATCGAGTTGTGTGGTCTTTAAAAAAACGAATCATTTGCATGATCAACTCTAGCTCGCTTGCTGCTGACGTACAATATAAACTACAAATTAAAATAATGGATAAAATACATTAGTTTTTAAGCACTTTTCTGGACTCTCAACGATTCTTTACAGTATGTGAAAAAAGACAACGTTAAATTATACACACACACACAATGACAGATAGATAGATAGATAGATAGATAGATAGATAGATAGATAGATAGATAGATAGATAGATAGATAGATAGATAGATAGATAGATAGGTAGGTAATGTCTCTCTGACATTGTTATTTGTATCAGAATGTATTCATTATTTAATTTAATAATTTTTTTATCCTATTGGAATTTTTTCCAGGTGTACCTACTGTAATGGCCAGTGATTAAGTTTTCGCCCAATGTGAACATCTGCTGCCATCTTGTGATCAAATTGTAAACTTCACCATAAACATATGATGGGTCCATCCGTCATCCATTTTCTAATGCCCTGGTCCTCACCAGCGTCGCGGGCCTATCCCAGCTGTCTTCGGGTAGTAGGCGGGGTACACCCTGAACTGGTTGCCAGCCAATCGCAGGGCACACATAGACGAACAACCATCAGCGCTCACACTCACAACGAGGGACAATTTTGAGTGTTTCATTAACCTGCCATGTATGTTTTTGGAATGTGGGAGGAAACCGGAGTACCCGGAGAAAACCCAACATGCAAACTCCACACAGGAAGGCCGGAATCGAACCCTGCACCTCTACACTGTGAGGTGGACGTGCTAACTCGTCGATCACCGTGCCGCCACCCTCGATTAAATTTAAGTTTAAAGCGAGGGTGGGCTACCCTCCTCCCAATGAGGATTCATTTAATTTGCCTTTTGACCATATACAATTTATGATAACGTGATTTATTATTTTATGTTTTGAGCAGTTTTGTGGGCTACATATTTTGTTTTTGTTTTTTTTTTTCAAATAGCCATTCAAAGCATTCCTATCTCCCCTCACCTCTACCACCCCCCTTTACTCCACCTCTCCCTTCCTGGATTAAGCTGTTCCATAGCAATAAATGCCTGTGCCAAATAGAATTAAGCAATCAATCCTTTCCTCAAATATTCATTCATTCATTTTCCGATCCGCTTACTCCTCACAAGGGTCGCGGGGGGTGCTGGAGCCTATCCCAGCTGTCTTCGGGCAGTAGGCAGGGGACACCCTGAACCGGTTGCCAGCCAATCACAGGGCACACAGAGACGAACTACCTTCCACGCTCACATTCACACCTAGGGACAATTTTGAGCATTCAATCAGCCTGCCATACATGTTTTTGGAATGTGGGAGGAAACCGGAGAAAACCCACGCAGGCCCGGGGAGAACATGCAAGCTCCACACAGGGAAGCCGGAGCCGAGACCGAACCCACGACCTCTGCACTGTGAGGTCGACGGGCTAACCACTGGACCACCGGGCCACCATTTCCTCAAATACTTTTTTTTTTTTTTAAACACCAATCAAGAAGACGGCATATACTGTATTAGCTTTTCTTTTAACACAGGCTTGAGAATGATTTAATGGGTGCCCTGAAAGAAAACAGAACTTCCTTTAAGAACCTGGGTAGTTCGACAAGAGAACTTGTCTTGGAATAGCTGTGAGCATGAACATCAATGGTAAACATTTGGATGGTTGCAGAGCATTGTAATAGTTAGAAGCTCCTCATAGTTTGTACCATTGTGCATTGTCACAACACTTGCCCAGCAGGGGTGCAAAATAAAGACGCTAATTCCAATGAAGTTGGGACGTTGGGTAAAATCTAAATAAAAACAAAATACAGAGTTTTGCAATCCAATTTGAACCTTTATTCAATTGTGAATACTCTCCAAATGCAAGATAAGAAACTGATTAATGTATTGCTTTTTCCCCAAATCGTCTCTCATTTTGCTGGCACAGGGGCAACAAAAGACTGGGAGAGTTCAGGAGCACTGAAAAAAAACAAACACCTGTTTATAATATCCGGAGACCTGTGCCAACCTGGTGAAGAACTACTCTCGGAGCTTGTTGGCAGTTCCGGTTCAGAAAGGTTACTTTATTGACGATACATTTTTGCCCTTTTTCTTTAAACTCATTGTATTAATTAAATATCGTCATCAAACTCATCACTTTTGTCTTTCATTTTCTTTATTTGATCCTCAAATAATACAGGTTGTTAAAGGCCATTTCCATGGAGAAATCAAGAGTTTGGTTGAATATCACATGGGGGCCTGCTAATATTGGTCCCAACTGTATGTATCCTTCACTGTCAATTTGAAATAACATCCTGTTTTTGAATAAAGGGATGGATACTAAACTTTTATTCATCAGATTAATGAATTAACTGCCAAAATAATTGACACATTAATTGATCATGAAAATCATCATTAGTTGCAGCCCTGATAATTTCAGTCAAACAAATCAATTCTTTTTTTAAAGCCACGTTTTATTATATAATACAGGATGTATTAGAAAAAGGAAAGTGATGAAAACCCCAACTTTTGAACGATAATATTTGTAGAAAAAAAACATTAAATCAAGACTAGCATCAACTGGGTGCTCGTGAGTTCACTGTATGTAGTGATTGATAGCCAAAACAATCACCTTTTCCAGTATAAACGCCCAAATTATTGCATAAAGTTGACATTACAGTTCTTTTTTTGTACATATGGGCCGGATATGTCTGCTGAGCTTTAGAAACAAGTCTCCTAAAATCCAATAAAGAATGCAGACGGCGCTGTGAAGGAGTTTATGTGTGTTCTTTCTGGCCAGTTACATTTTCTTCGTCATTGGCGCATCCGGGTAATTTCGGTTTTTTGATTGACAGTTGCCATGGCAACAAGCGAGAGCATCGCCATTTTGTCAGGAGGTTTTTTTCCTCCCCCCTTTCCAGCTTCAGTCTTTTTCAAATGTTTCTCCCTTCCCGCCGGAATAATGCTGTCAGTGGATATACATTTGACGTTTTCGGATAGCGAGATTCGTCTAATGGATCGGGTGAAGATGATCAAGAGGCCGAGGTTTTAACGCGGTAAAATAATTAGGCGGCGCCGCCACGAAAGTCGGCTTGTCCGCGTCTGTGGTCCACCGGGCCGGTTCACTGCGCAGGTTTGGACCGCGCGCCATTTTGTGAAAATTGACACAAAATTCCAAAGCTGAATTACCGGAGGACGCGGGGTCCGTTTGGGCTTCCAAACACGCCGAATCCACCGTTGCCATCGCATCGCTCGAGGAGGTCGTCGCCAATTTGACAAAAGACTGCGTAAAAATCGCTTTGACGTAGCATTTATTTAGCGGCGGGGGCTAACGATTGTTAGCTCGAGGCTAGCACGGGACAGGTCGCTAACGTTAGCCGCGTTCATTTTGTCCACTAGCAGTAGCCCCTATTCGCTAGACCTTAGCCACGAACTTAGGCGTGCTACTCAACGCTAGCATGTTGCTAGTCATCAGCTGATGGTAACGTCCATCTCCCGTCTGAAATGGAGAGTTTATTAGAACTGGCTGGCAAATAATTTTCTCATTTGTCAGTCGGAAGACAGACGCCGGTTCGGATTTAAGGTGATCGTTCCTCGCTAACCGTGCAAAGGGAGGGGAGAATCTCAAACTGGATAAGTTTCCTCATCATACAGGTTATTGGACTTTAAATGAAGATCGTGCCATCAGAGGTGAGCGGCTACTACATTTATCCTGTATTTCTTTTAAACGGGATGCCGCCTTGTGCTTCTTGTGGATTGTCTTTGTGCGTATAAATCAAAATCGATGATGGAGCCGTGAATGGCAGCCCTGCCGCGGTACATGGCGGGGCGAGCTAACCCATTTGTCGGGCTGAAAGTCGAAATGTCAAATGAGGTCTTTTTTCCATTTCGACGTCGTTCTGGAAAAAAAGGGGTCGGGTGTGTGTGAAGAGTCATGCTGGTGCCGCTAACATTAACCCTGCGGTATTATCGTGTCATTGTGCGATCTGGCTTGAATACACTCACACACACACACTCTCACACACGCATCCACACACACACACACACACATCTTTATTTTAAATCTAATTTGATTGAATTATCGATGCGTGTATGAGATCTCGCCGAGCCTTAATATTGCTATTGCCCGAGAGCTAATTCAACGAAGCCCTTGGCTAATGGTGAACGTTGACTTGTTGACGGACCAGCTGAGTGGGCCCCAACAACCCGCTGGCTCGATTGAGCACTAGCCATCCTTGTCACTACCGCTGGAGGGACGAATCGCTTCGGATTGGGAGGCGAACCTCTCGGAAGGACGATATGCCTTTACAAGGGAACCGGACTAGTAATGAATATATGTTCTAATAATTTCCATCTGTGACGAAATCTGCCCCTTCGTCTGTAAGTACACCGCTACCCACAGCAGCCACAACCGCGGTCGTTATTACACACATAGATATATAGATATTGTATTAGCAGGCTGATTTAAGGTTCCTTATACGGCCACTAATAAATATAAATATATATATATA